TCGAAATAATTTGAAAGCTCATCTCGGAACTGGAAAATTGGTCATAGGAAATTGTGTTTAGTTTTAATTAGTAAAGGTATATTGAAATTGGGTATCGCGTTTGCTGTGTAGTTCATATAAAATTGCAAACAGAAACTGATTGTTGGTGATCTAATGGAATTTAAATTTATTTAAGCTAGTAAATTTGGTGTACGTGTAATGTACATTTGTCGTGGTACCCGCGTTTATATTTGTTTTTAATTACGGTTTAGCTATTTATCTATTGTTTTTATGTGAATTTATGAAAATCCTGCTTCAATAATTTTAACAAGAAATATCTGCTGCAGCAGTTTTCGTTCGAAAGGATATTAGTAAATTTAACACACAATTCAAATAAAATTTAAAAATAAATGTTGATAAAATGTAAGTTTTTCTCATTTTCCTCAACAAAATTAAAAAAATTTGGTCGCAAGTTGTTTCGACAGAACTTCCCTCGCTCGTGAAGTACAATGAAACATATCAAGCATTTTCGAGTTGAGTTTACACAATTTGGTGATGACGTCTTTAACATTTCTGCAAGGACACGCATACCAACTTGGATTGGTGTAGTGTCATACTAAAAATAACAGTATTGTATACCCAAAATTTTCTGAGAAAATGAAGTGAGCCGTTCCTGATTTAATCAATAAAATAAACTGCCTCATTCATTAATATTTTTGAGCCACTTGTTTAAACAAATCTAAAAAATATTAATGCAGTAATAAAACTAATAAATCACAAATAAACACTCATCACATTTTGGGTAGAATTTATTTGGCATAATTTTGAGATGACGTCATCAATTTTTTGGGGGAATAAACAGATATACTTTGATTAACGATTTACCATACTCACCATAACTTTAAAACGTCTGCAAGATTTCAAAGTATTCAGTTTTGCAATTCATGATTTGTAAAATAAAATAAATTGAGTGATTCATTAATTTGTTTACGTCACTCTGTATAAGCAAATTTAAAAAATTGGTCGAAAGTTGTTTCGACAGAACTTCCCTCGCTCCTGACGTACAATGAAACATAAACAAACAAAAATTGTGATGACGTCATCAATATTTTTGCAAGAACACGTATATCAGCTTGAATTGGTGCAGTGTAATACTAAAAATAACTGTATTGTATTCCCAAAGTTTTAATGCAGTGATAAATCACAAGTATAGACTCATCAATCTCATCATACTTGCACATTTAAGATAATATTTTTTCAGAAAAATTTTGGAGTGGCGTTATCAATTGTTTAAGAGGGATGAGCAAATACATACATATTGAACAAAAATTTACCATGCTTATAATAACTTTAAAACATCTCCAAGGTTTCAAAACATTCAGCTTTGTAGTTCCTGATTAAATCAATAAAATAAATTTACGCATTTATTAATTTTTTTGAGTCACCCTGTATATGCAAATCCAAAAAATATGAATCGAATGATAAATCACCAGTACAGATTCATCATATTTTGTACATTTTAGATTTATTCAGCAAAATTTTGGGGAGGTGTCATCAATTTTTAGGTGGGACGAGCAAATACATTTTGATCAAAAATTTAAAACATTTGCAAGATTTCAAAGCATTCGGTTTTCCAGATTCAAAATTAAATTGCAAAATGCGCTTTTATAATTTTGATTTTTTTTCCAAAAATTTGGACTTAAGACGGCTTCTGTTCTCACTATTTATTAACGAAGTTGTCATACAACAACTACAGTTGAATCCTTCTTTGAGTATAGAAAAAAGTTCGCGTTATATTGTTAAATCATGTTACTAACACAGTAACCAATTACATAATCTTATTTGATGGATAAATTAATTTTATTGACTAAGTATATAAACATAAAACACCTTAACGTTAAATATTTGTAGAAATAGTTAAGTTACAAGAAGAGGACTTCATTACGCAATTAATCGATCACATAATCAAAATCGGCCCAAATTTTTACTACAAGTTAATTGCACTTTATTTAACTCAAATTAAATATTTAATTAAATAACTTTTGAAATATTATGTTAAAAATTTATGTTGGTAGTACCAACACGTTCCTTGTTGAGTTTGACATTTACGGTCGCATAACTGTCAAATAAAGTGTCATTTAACTGTAGTGCCAACATCATTATTTTAAAAATAAATTTCATGATTTACTAGACGACTTTTGTGCAATCACATGGTACTACAAATACATTATAGACTTCGTTAATCTTAATTTAATTCTATAATTATTTTTTTCTACCGCCCACGTTTTTTGGTTTTCTAATAGAGCTATTAACGCACGCAAATGACGTCACAGCAGTTCGTTAATAGCGGAAAGGCGTTCTTTAATAGATCTGGTGTAATTTAGATCGGTAAGATTGGTAGCAATGATGAGAAATGTCAGGTGAATGTCAGTGGCAAATCTAAACTTAAAATTTCCCATGTTTCCGGACGCGTAACTTCTTCGCAAGACATTTTAACCAATTTTAAATTACAAAAACTCGAATTGGTTCGAATTACAATTGTTATTGTGAAAATTCGAACCTCAAATATTTCGTGGTTAGTGTCAGACCGACCCATCACCAACCACGACAAAAGTCCCCAGATTAAAAAAAATGCAAATTTCAATTAAATTTTGGTAAAAAACGTGTGCGGTAGAAAAAATAGTATAAATAACTCGTTCATAAGGCCATTGAGGCACTCATCCTTTATATAACTCGCGGCTTCGCCGCTCGTTCTATAAACTTGGATTCGTGCCTCAATATTTGCCTTATGAAACTCGTTCTTTAATATACTATTAAGACACCAATAAATGATCATTTTTGGTATCTTAAAAATTATCTTTTTGGTTTTGTTTTCCTCTTTTGCCCCTCCATGTGCCTCGGAAGTTATGGATCACGTCTGAATTCAGCAGCAGTTTGGTATACATTTATAAAATTCATTTCTTATTTAAAATTGAATTTTAATTTATTTTCGCAATTTAACTTAATTTCATTATGGTTCCGTTGAATCAATTTATAATTATCATTTTTTTGTTGTTGTTTTCGTTCAAAGTAGCTAGAATTAACCTTTCGGTTGAATTATATAATTCATCGCAGCAGAACAAGTGGTTTATAAGTCGATTAATTATTATTAGTTTCTATCGGCGTAAACTCTCTTTATTGAAAAGTTTCAGTTCCGCAAAACTTCTTTCTATACAAAAAATTATTAAGTCAATGCAATTTATTAGTAAAACAACTCAAGAAATATATTCAACTAATGAAGGTTTGCGTGCATACTATTTTTCATTTGAAGGGATAATTTTTCCAACACCATGAATGCAAGAGTAAGTTACCTGCAGTTACAACGGTTGCGTATGAATGATAACTGAAAACAAAGGTTTACGATTCTTAACGGCTATAAAATTTCTGAAAAACTTTATTTTCTGTATATAAAATAAAATGCAAACATTAGAACTAAACAGTGAAATTAAGCAACTATTATTTCTAAAGCTCTTACTCAAAGTTTTTTTATTTTCAAACGTCATATAACTGGCACTTATATGACGCTCTTAGCGGGGTTTAAGTGTAATTTCTATGACACCGTGATTGAGCGGCGCATAAGTACTACTTATACTCCGCCGGCGTATAAATAAGACATTTATACTCCGCCGGAGTATAAATATGTGAAAATCATAGTGGTTGTCAACCATAGTAACCATGGTAAGTGAAATCAAGGCAATTCCTTAATGAAGCAAGAAGATAGGAAATAATCATTTCAAAAGAAGATTGATCGTTTGAAAATAAAATATTGTATTTCATTGGAAGTTTAAGTGACTTTATGTGACTCGTATGGACTTAATTCGCCTCGCTATGGCTCGGCGTTTAATTGTCCATACTCCGTCACATAAAGTATCACTTAAACTCCTAATAAAATAAATATCTAATATTTTCAAACGTCATATAATTGACACTTATATGACGTTATTACCGGAGTTTAAGTATCATTTCTATGACAGCGTGTTTGAGCGGGGTATCAGTACTACTTATACTCCGTCGGAGTATAAACAAAAAAACTATGGACTCACTTCGACTCGCTATCGCTCGGCGTTTAATCATCCATACTCCGTTACATAAAGTATCACTTAAACTCCAAATCAAATAAATAATTCTATCTGTTTTTGTTTGGGTGGCACAAATTACAAATTTTGATTCGATTTTCCTTGGTCATATAAACTGTTATTTTTTTTAAATAGTACAAGTTACTAACAGCACCTATTTATTTGCAGATCCTACTGTTATCGTACAGTGAATTATAGTAGTTTATCCTTACATACAAAAAGTTAGAAAGTTATGAATAAAGAAACTTATAGTTTAAATTGAATGAATAAAGATCAAAAGTATTTATTCACGCTTCTAAATACGATCCCAATTTCACTGATTATACAAGATAACATCAAACATGTAATAAAAATAAGGTTCAGTGACACATCCTTAAATAATATTTTACTATTTGTGATAGAGAATAAAAATAAAAAAGTTTTATCTTCTGTACAATATTCGCCACGTTTTTCTTAAGCGAGACGACGTGGTGGCATTGCCCTCATCTTATGAAAAAGGTATAACGTCACATAAATCCTGAGGTTGTTCATAAGTTCATGACCCTGTTTTTCATGTTGTGTATAACATAAACAAACTCCACAAGTTAGTTAAACATTCATTAAACAGCTGAAATACTTATTCGCTATATGTAATTAGCTGATAATTAGTTACGAGCTTGTGGTTTTAGCTTGAACTTTGAAAACTAAGCCCCTATTGAAGCCGCTATCTTGATGAGTTTACATACATAATTACAAGAACTATAAGATAGCATATTCCGATGTTGTTGGGGCAGCATTGTGCAGAACACAGCAAGCGCTTTTATTCCCTTTAAGTGAAATAGATTAAACTGCTGATACGCAGCACAACAGAAACTGCAATTAAGCGGCTGCTTTTATTTACGTCTAACTGTTGTTATTTTTTTGCAGATGAGAATGGCTCGCTTGTGGCTACAATTACAGACAGTCCCATAGAACTTAAAAACTACATAAAAGTATGCGAAGAACGCAGAAAATTCCCAGTGCTGTATAAATTAGAATTTCAAGTAAGTAATTCCATGCATAAATTAACTAGCAAACAACAAAACTCATCCAAAACTAGCCGAAAAGCTGTTGCATGTTTTGCTTTATGTAATCGCATTTTCTCGTAATTCTTCTTTTTTTATTTCATTAGCACCACTCGATTTGCATTGCCAAACAATAAAGTTTAAATAGGGAGCTTTTTGAGCTCAAAAACCTCGATTTATATGCATGAAAGGTACTAATAAATTCATGAAAAATTTTAAATTAATTACTTCTACTGCATCTTTAAATTAAAATATTAAGTGTGATTTCGAGTGCTTACTTTGGAGGAGCTTTTTCAGGTCTCTTAGCTTTGATGTGTTTGTCTTGTTGAGTTTTAGATTGCCTTAGAGTGAAGTCTGATGGTGCTTTTAAAACACAGTAAATGTATTATATCTTATCTCTTTACTCTTCCCTTCTTATCTTCGTCCATTTTTTCTTCGAGCAACAAGTGTTCTAATACAGTTTAACGATGGTAATAGTAAGCAATTTATTGTTTTTTGCTTATTTCACCAAAAATGTTGTTTTGTGGGCAACATTTTTAACAAATTAAATAGCATATATCATTTTTTACTATAACACTTATCTAAGTTAGTATGTCTTCCGTTTTCGTTTGTCTGTCGTCTGTTGATTGAAAAAAGTAATTTTTTTGTTTACATTAAATATGTTTTGATATATTTTTACATTTCGATCATAAAATCTTACATTTGACGAATGATAATATTTTCTACTTCTTACAATTTAACAAAGTCCATTTCCCCTTTCCGTCTATCATCTGTCGTCGATCTTATTAAATACCTATAATATTTTTACTGTATTTCAGACAAAACTTACCTGTACAAAATTATTTACGATTTGTTAGTATTTGTTTCAGTTTCTTTACTTTTATTCATCTCTATTTGTACATAGTTTGCAATTTAGCTCATTAAGTTTATAAGCGATAAATAATTTTAAGCGACAAATTTCTCTGAATTATTTACCTAACATCAAACCAATCGCCGCCAAGTACAAGCCCTCATTTCCATTTCCCAATTGTCGTCTCGATTTAAAGGCACTAGTTTCCCATTCTCAACACTTCAAATCCCACTCGATTAAACGAGTATGAACGAAACACAAAGCAGACTTCGTTTGGGCCATTATTGAGAAATAAATCTCAAAAACTTCCGAATGAAGTTAATACGAGCATCGATTCGCCCAGAATATAAGTCTCGTTTCGTCGAAATCACGAATGGAATTATGGATTAGTGAATCGGAGCGATTATTCGCGAAAAACGAGAAATAATGAATCGAAAAATCTGTTTTATTCTTGCTGGAGACGTGTAAATAATAATTCGAAGAAATCGTCTCGTCTGCTCCTTACGACATGTGGATTTTGTTTGCATTTTACAACAATAGTTCTTTGAAGTCTGCGAAAATCAAAGTCAATCGATTATACTTCAAAGTAATGTCACGTTACATTGAATACGTCGGAGTGTCTCATATTCGCAGAGATCCAATATTTGCGATCCGTCACGGGCTATACGGTTTAAAATTTGCGTCTTTTGAAGTATGTAGCAGGCACGCGTGGGATTAGTAAAATATGATGAAAAATTTTCAAGGAGGTCGCTATATCAGAACAGAAGTGGCTTAAATTTATTGGGGTCCGGAGTATTTATCTTGGCTCCAAGGAGAAAAAAAAAGAAGAAAAGAAAGTAGAAAGGTGAAAAATTTTTAGAGAGTTTTCTACTGAAATTACAAAATATTAGATGAATTCATTTTATATATGTATTGTATAGCGCTCGACGAATGCGGTAATAATACATTAATCATCGTTTAGTTTATATTTTATCTACGATACCGGATTTGTTTTTTATTTATCACAAAATGTTGCGGAATAATAGCATTATGCACTTCTTTTTTTCTTAAAGAAACACTTAATGCTTTTCCTAGATACTCGAAAAGATTAGATTTAATTACTGTTTCAGAATTGTTGTAACTTCCCTTTTCGTAACTGAAAATGCGTCTTGGCAGCTTTCAAGAAGTCTAAGAACTCTTTCACAAAGGAATTTTCTGAAATTTCAAACTTTATATTAATCTTTATGCTTATACAACTTTTGCAAAAACTTTTTAATTGAATATTAAAACAAAGTAAAATATATAATATATGGAATAAAGCATACATAGTAAACTCAGTCGACTCGTACAACTTTACAGCCCCATTATGACAATAACAGATAGTAAAAATCCTTGCCGTTCGGGCCCGTAAAAATGGCGTGATTGATTGTATATAAACAAGGTCGTACTGAAAAGAAAACTGAATCATAATTTCTTTACTAAGTAGTAACGGTGAGTTTAAAATGTTTTATTAGTAGTTACTGTTTATTCTAGATCTAAAGAATGAAAACCCGAAACTATAGTTACCCTAAAATACGAGATGGGAGAGAACGGTATGTGTTTTTGATATGTTTGATAACCATGAAACATCATCTCCAAAGAGGACGATAAAAGAACATTAAACTATTTCCACTGAATAACTTTTTTCGGACTTTAAAGGTACATATATGGAAACAAACTTGGTCAGCTATCTTGAAATTCTTATGATATTATAAACGAACAGTAAGTACCTCAAACGTCAAAATGAGGAAGTAATAAGTTCCATTCGGCGAATGGTTACTTTCATGTTTTCTCGATATTTCACGACCTCTACGAAAAAATAGGTCCTCGTTTCCGTCTGTCCGTCACCTGCCTGTGCCGATTTTTATTAGACAGGAGATCTCCAAAATTGAACCGATTGTTCGTAAATTTAAATAAAATCAAATTTATAATTTTTCAGTATTTATTCGATTCTATTTAAGGAGCGAGGGAAGTTCTGTCTAAATAATTTTAAGCAATCTTTTTCGATTTAAACTAATTACAATTACAACTGTTACAACGTACTTTTGCTAAATTCGTTGATCGAATACATCTGAAAAAACTAAATATAGTCCTCTATGACTCCCATGGCATGACTAACCTAAAGGAACATACACAAGTGCTAAAAATGTGTGAACGAGTTGTTGACATCTTCAGTCCTGTGAGAATAACAACATCATCTGAGCAAAACTTACATTCACACCTCCGGTTTCGGACGTAGGGCTTGAGGAATATGTGTGGTTAGTAAAACAAATCACTGAGAGTGTAAAATTGAAAAAAAAATGGTTAAGAGAACAGAAAAAATAGTGTTAACTCTGATGGGGAACTAAGTACAGATGAAGTTAATTGACTTCGAGAAGATTCCAGAAGAACTCTTGTTTGAAAAGTAAGTAAACGAATTTCTATTTCTCCACAGGATACCGACGAAAAATTAAAAAGTTTTGGAACATGCACACAGAAATAAACATCGTCCTGAATGTGTGGAATATGTTCAAAATCAGAGACGGGTTCTTGGCGAATTTTTAAACTATTTCATCCACAAAGGCAAACGTCAAGTGGTCTATAAAATATTATAAAAAGAATCTTATTAGACAGCATTTTAGAAAACCCTGTTAAAAAACTAGGAAGAAATATGTAGTACTTGTCTTGCAAGAGTTTTTTTTACAACTGGAAGAGGCAAACTGGGGCAGGTGATTCTCTATACTATGTTAAAAAAAAAAAACATGAAACATGCTTCTAGGCTGAAAATTAATACAAGTGTTAATATTTAAAAAAACCGATAATAATAAATTAAACCTTAAAAAAATCTGAAATTGCTGCAACACGCTATCGCTGATTCCAATACCAATTCGTATAGGTTGATGATCTTGACAACTAGCTAGCTAGCACCCATCCCGATTAAACCAGCTTTCAAACAAAAAACACATTGAAAATGGATCAGTTACAGTGCCACATACAGACACAAAGACTGACAAAGGGATCAAAGTTATGACACCTCTGTTTTTACGTTTATTATATGTATTAAAAAAACTAAACAGACTAGAGAAACGCTGAATGGACAACACAAAAATCAGGAGGAGTAACAAAGAGATAACACAAACGCAGTAAGCAAGATTTAATTATAATTTTGAAGATCTGTAAGACTTAAAAATCTGGAGAATAATTCCATTTACGACAATGATTTGAAGACATGTTACGTATGTTGACAATGAATCAAAATTACAGTTGCACATAAGTGAACCAAAGTAAGAAACATAAAGTCACAAACATTATTCCTAGGGAAATGAAAAAGCTAAAAATTTAGCTATTTGATTAAATGTCTTATAAAAAAAAGTTGTACCGAATGTCGAATGAAACCGTCGATGACTAAACTAAAACACTTTTAAAGTTTACGAATAAGTAAAGAAAACCATTACAAAATAAGGTTATTATTATTTGTTAAATAGAAAAGAGAACAAGGATAATCATGAATAGGTATATGCGCAATAAAAATGCATGATATCGACACACTTTAGAATATGATGTTTTAAATAATTTTTGAGTAAGTCATATTAATTTCGCAATCCAGTCTTATCTTTATCCTTGCGAAAGATTTTGGAAAAAAATAATCAAACTTGTATATCTAAATTTTGAATTTTAACTTAAGCACTACAAAACTGAGTGATCTGAAATTTTGAAGATGCTTTAAGGGTATCTTGAAATCCCTAATCTGAATTTATCCGTCCTTTGGATCAAAAAACTCAATGACGTTATCTCAAAGTTTTTCTAGTAAATGTCTGGAATGTATGTGTGAATGAAGAAAATAAGAACCTGTGTACGGTACCATATATTATCTTTATACACTCTTATCAACATTTTTTGAACTTCTTAACTGCGTTAAAAATGTGCCAAAAAATTATATAAGTAGTTTGTTAATGTGTTGAACGTGTACTGAGCTATCAAGAATTAAGTACATATTACTACCATTTGTTGGAAATTTAATAATATTGATAATAATAATAATATTAATAATGTAGCAACAAAAAATTACAACTAGATGAATCTATTGTAAAGATAAAACAAATAGCATAATTTAAAAGAAACTGTTGTTTTC